TCATTGTTTGGTAACTATTTGCTGCAAATGCAGCAAAAATCAATATAAAAATATTACCCACACAGCATTCTACAGGTTACTTGTATTTTATTGTAGTCGACGAGAAACAAATCACGCAACAAGTGATTAGTCATGGTTTACATGAAATGTGTTCGACGCGTCGTTGTTCGGCATCGTCGTGAAAAGTTCTTTTTCACCAAACTTAAAAATGGCATCCACATACTCTTTGAAAACTCTGTTCATATAGTTTGCCCTTGACGGAATCAATCTTTCGCAGAAGGCAACGTGACCACCATGTGACGTAATAGCTAATACAATATTCGAGTACTGGCTGGCTTCCTTTATAGGGAAAGCTGAAAATGTAAATATTTAGATTAAATGTTATAGTGTGTCCGACGCTATTCGCCATTCTCAAAGACGGAGCTATCCCCCAAACGCTGACGGACCAATCACAAACAAGAATAGACATTGATTTTTCGGACGAACATCTCTGTTTCCCCCACGCTAACCAACTATCCCATACGCTAACGATAACATCTTTTGTCGTCAACTGACTTCCTGTTCCGATCCATCTTTTAAAATTGGAAACAACGCGTTCTGGAATTTCTGTTGTTAAATGTCATGAAACAAGTAGGCAAGGTATATGAGAACACAGTACTGAGATAGCAGCCGGCATTTGATATAGTACAAAATTAATCATATTCATGTGTTGGTTACGGCATATAAATCACGATTACGTAACCAAAACGTGACACGATATATCATATGCACATAAAATGTAGTCGTTTGGCGATTAAAGGGCCGCGGTGCTCAGTATGATAGAAGGCCAAGTTACGTGTAGAACGTTCCAAATTGTTCACGGACAATGACATGAGAAAACACGGTCAATAACCACCTCAGTTATGAATGAATGCGCCTCCGATTACGCTCAATCACGTGTCGACAGGTAATCAAAACAATAACGTTCTGCACCTTGTTCGCCGTGACTAAATAGGGCGGACAGATATTATGCTGATCCCGCACAATAAGTGAAATGCAGTTTGCAATTTTAACAAGGGGAAACAAATAGTCTGATAAATGACGCAAAATTAAACATAATCATGATTGAATTGAATGCATCTATGATTCACGAGATGACGATTGACCAATCGTACAGTTTCATTTACCGTATTACAATAATCAATATAGGCGCGTTCACATACCCCATAATGCCATGCGCCAGTGACGTCATTGTACAAGTGTGCTGAAATATCTTGCTCTATAGCATCACGATGCTTACCACATTTAGGTGATATGGGATCGTTATCTGCGTTCAAACACAAAACAGGAATCTTAACAGAAGATATCTTTTGATGTATACAGCAGTCGTTGTAATATTCCTCTACATTACGATATCCAAACATCTGCACAAGGACCCTCTCTTCAAACTCACGAATTGTGGCGGACTAAAATGACAATTACGAACTATTAATTAATTAGTGATTATTGCGTCGGAGTCCTGTATAACGAATAGGTGTACGGCATTCATGCCGACGATATTGACCGACCGTCATTAAAAATAATGTGTTTAAGAGATACACTCCATGTTAAATGACGAACGAATACATGAGCATACATAGTTGACTTTTCAAACGAAAATGCTTATATCAGATGTGATTCACCCCTAGAGATTTTTGGCATTGAATTTTGAGAAGAATGTGCTGTATATAGAAAGTGAGGCACAACCACACAATTCTAAAGACACTATTATGCAGGAACGCAAATTTAAGGTCAAACTATGTTGTTTGTTTCACGATTGAGAGATTCATGTTTTAACGCCGTTTGATCTGAGTAAAATTGTTTGCTACTAAGCATGTTACTCATCGTGCATAATGAGAGAGAACTTTCCATGATATAAAATGGAAAACTGACTACATAATAAATGTATAAATAAATAGTTTAACAAAATAATGATTCATATTAATTAATATATGACTTTTTTCATCTCATGTCACCGATAAAACATGTTGTTATAAGAAGAAATAAATTCACCATAAAAACACTGGGCGGAAAAATACAAATTTACTATGGTATTTCAAACACTTGCATCACGATAAATAGTCCGGTGACATCATCAATAGCAAGAGCCCGTAAAATTCAAAGCAAGACAAACACTACATATTCTCTTCGGTGCAACCCCCTTGACAACATTACTGACAATTAGTCTGCACATTCGCAGTGAGTCACTCACCTTTAATATATATTCAACATCATAGTCCCTCTGCAATAAGTGAGAATTCCTGAAATAATAACAATGTTATGACTGTCATAATGTCATACACAGTTATCATAAATTATTTAACAATACTTTATAATGTGAACTTTACATACTTGTCAACCATATCTTTGAGTTTTCCAAGGATGTGTTTATTAAAAATAAACCTGCTGACAGTGTTCTCCAACACGTTGTTAACTGATATCATGTCCCAGGCTGTTGAAACTACCAGTGCTGCCTTAAACCAGCAATCATGCCCAGTTTTTGCCAGGTAGTTAAATAGTACGGTCCTGTAAGTAATCATTAAGGTGAGAAATTCCGGTCACCGGATGGTAGTTGTTCTCATGGCCCCGTGTTTGGTGAACCCCAAGTTAAATTGTGGATAAACAACAACAAAGGTTTATTCACGAGCGGATAAATATTCGAGGATTAGATCGACTTGTTCATATTCAGTCGTAATTGGTTGACACCGGAATATATATCGCATTAAAGAAACATATGATATCAAAAATAGCAACCTTTCATATTCAAGCGATAAGAAAGCAGTTTTTTTTTTATTTTGTGTATTGCTACTCACGCTCCCATAGATACTGCCACGCAAACCATAACAGAATGTGGATGATTTGTTTTTAGATGTTCCATTACAAATTCAAGGTCACCAGTGTACGGAGGACAGTGACCCTTCGCAGTCTGCAATAATCAGCAAACAACAAGTATATAAATATTCTTCAATACTGAAGACAACAAGACAACAAGAATAAAATGAAAATTTGTTGCATAATGCATAATGTGTAATATAACGTCTTAGATAATTTGAGTGTTTTTGTGTGAAGAATAACACTTCGACAATTTCAAGGAAAATTGGTTAAACTGAAATTTAAAGTGGGGGAGTCGTCACCTACGCATGCGTCGGGTCGCCATAGCGTGTCATTGTTTACAAACAAGCGTCTACCCATGAACCTTTGCGTTCTAAGTATGTGTTGTTATCATCGCTTGAGACTCAATTCCCGCGCGTGCGCAGATGACGACCCTCCCGCTTTAAAATGGTATAGAATTGTGTTTTCAATATTCTGTTAAAATTGGGATCAGTAACATTGTACGACTGACAGCAGTGTATCTTGAATCTGAGTATTCAAATGTGTCTGCTATAATACAACTTACTTTAAAAATGGCCCCTCCTTTGCCTCTGTAGTTCATAACCACCGATCTATATCCAAGATTCGATGCAATATTTACTAGTTCCAAAATGTATCCATCATCAGAATTACCTGACAACAAAATAGAAGAAAAACAATGAACTTACAAGAAGTATTATCATAAAAATGGTAATTGTCTTTACTAATGCCACCCATTATTTGTCAAACTGAAAATGTTCATTGAACTGTTGGCATATTACAACAATTAATCGCAATCATTTGCGTCTCACGATTCATTTATAAACATGCACAGCTAAATGATTTAATTTGTAAATTTCTCCAATCAAATTAAAGATGTCTGAGCTCAATTCAAACCTACAACAATTTTCATACTTTTTTATAATCAGGGGTTAATACCATCAGTATATAGACTACAATAAAAATCAACATTTTCTGAGAGTGCGAAATGTCACGAAAAATAGTCGTAATTTGCATTTGTGCAAATGGTGAATGATTTCTGAAAACTTCAATTATAATTATTGAATCATAATATTGTTAAAAGACCAATTTTGTGTGATGATAGATGTGCAAATACGAATGGGAAGATATCTCCCATAATGTAATGCATATATTACACATTAACATGCTCATTTGGCTACTAGACAACAACTTGAATTCGAACGTTTTAGTATTGACACAACCTGTTACGCCATATAATAATAGAATGATGGGCTTCGGATTCATGTCCTTGGAGTCTCGTTGTTTATAACCGGTGTCCGCCCATTGTAGACAAATTTCACCCCCATCAGAAGCTGTCAACATTTCACTAGAAAACAAAAACATATTTCCAGGAATTAAACGAATTTATTGTATCGTTTACAATGCAAATTCACATACTTTTCACCATGGGTTTGGAATGAGAATTTGCACACGATGGAGTTTATGGGAACAAATCTTCAGGTTGGCACACTGATAAAGATGTATTTGGCAAACCTTAGAGTACAAGAAGGCGCTTCACTGTTAAATCTACCATTCGGAATCAAATTGAAATCAAATGTGGTTGCAGAGATTCCAGAACAATTAAGTTTGAATATAATAGGTGCGTGGAATTATATAGTGATATAATGGTTTGCAAACACACTGTGGGACCATTTAAAAATGCACGCGACTATTTCCCAAGAGAGTTGCAATTTTAAAATATGCAGTTATGCAATGTTGAGGCTAGATCTAAAACACACGCATACCTTCAAATACAATTCCTAGCCACAACGTACATGTTATTAGAGGTTACAATAACGAAAAACGATTTATTTATTTTTTAATTATATTTTTGGAATTCAATATTGAAATATGTCCAATATAGACAATATATACACAACCTTGGCTGTTTGTCAAGAACAAATTCTTTTGAATGTGTGAATGTTACATGTATGACTAGATTTTACCTTATATAGTTAACCCCAGCTACACGAAATATAGTCGCATGAAGAAATACTCTCATTAACGACATCATTGTGCCTTCGATACACCAAAATGTTGGCCAGTATGTCTCATTTAAGACTGGACAGTGTTTATTGAGAAACAACTTGAATCTGGCATCTTTTCCGATGAGTACTGGTTTCTGTTCAAAATAATTAATAATTACGCATGGTTATGTTATTTATTCTATCGTATGTTCTGTTGTTACAGTATGTTATATGTTTAGCGGAGGTCGATTACTTAACCACCCGCAAACGCCTACACAAATACACAATATACGTATTAACATACAAATTTCCCTAATACTGACATAAATAGAACCAAAATACAACCATATTTTATGAGTCGGTCACAGTAATAAACAAATACTGAAAAATAAACTATTTTATAAAAAAGATGCAAAACAAGGACACAACCAGTGAAGTAAAAATGCTAGCTCTAGTGGGCTAAATACTATATGGTGTTGATACGTGTAATATGAATGAACACCGCGACAATCAAAACATAACATATATCAATGGTATTCGATATACATATTTATCACATACTTAATACGAAAAAACATAAATATTGTACACAGTACTGTAGTAAAATGGTTAATTATTCACTGGGTTTTATTTTGGCTTATTTCGCTGACTGGAAAATGCGCTAAATTAAAACCCAGTTAATATGTAAAATTTAACATAAAACATATTATCTAAATGATAAAACCGTGAATTTAAAACCCACTGAATATGCCTGAAATGGTAAATCAGTGAAATTTAAACCCAGTGAAAATTAGTCTTTTTAGTAATTCAAAAAGATATCATACTTACATTAACCACACAGTAGAAGTAGTTGATAGTATAAATGATTGAAAATAGCAGAAATATCAAGAACATTGAGTTATTGGAAAGATAATAACACAAATCCATTATATATATATGGGAATATAGAGAACTATTTAAGCAATTTCCAGGGGATGATATCTGTGCACTCCCTTCCCAGGGGATACCCGCTACTGACTGGACAGTGAAATTTAATTAAACATTCAAAATGGCGCACACCATGCGCTGATACGTAAACTGTGCTTATCCTCGAGAGACAGCGCCGCTTAGTGACCGTCCGATTAGGACGGGCCAACTATACAATTATAAAAAGCTGTCCTTGGATATATATATATTTATTCCTATCATGGCGGGTCATTGAAATAAAGCAGTGTAATCAATATAAACAGCATATCAATAGTTTAGGCGTCACAGTCTTCGTACCTTTGTGACGTATACAACGCCTGTAAAATGCAGAGTTTATCCGACGTATACTGACGGCGATTTAACTACGTCATACAGACATTATCACTCTGCGTTCAGCGGCATTTATGTTTTCAATTAGATCGGCGCCTCGTTTGTATTTTTTCAGTTAAAATAAAAAAAATAGGTTTATCCATATTTTTATTGTAGATTGCGCTGTAATATACAGTGACAATGTTTTTTTTTTATGGCGCTATCATTTATCGAATACCCGACCATATACCGGTTATACATTTATTACTATATATATACGCGTACTAAATGCGTCAAAATATTGCTGTGTTTAGTCTTCAATTATCACAATTATGGCAAGCCAATAGATGCACTATTATTTACATTTGTTTTCTATTTTCTAATTTGTATTTGTATTTCATTGATTTGTAAAAAAAAATATCTGTAAGGACAATAAAGTCGTTCAGTGGCTTGTTTACAATAAATGGTAAACTATTCATGTAATCTGTTTATTTCGATAAAAAGCATGGTGTTGCATCATTCCTGAAAATTAGCTAAAATGTATGCCGATGATCAGTTTTATGGACTTGGCTGCGGTCACGGTTGCAGACAAAATGAATTATAATAACCAATCAACCATTAACAAGAGTGTGATTCGTCAACTGGCGAATGTAAGATCCTGATGTCCGTTGGAATAAAGGACAAACTTGATGTGCCATCGTCGAAACGGAACGCAATGCGTGAGTTAACAATGCCGAGACTGTGCTCCTGACCAATTGATGAATATTGTCAATGGGTTTCTCCGAACATTGCTGGAAGCGTGCTGACTAATGACAATACAATGGCTGCTATAGGGATATGATATTGTTGCTGCTTTGTCAATTCAAAGGGCTGATTTCCGTATATATGTCTTTGGTTTGGCGTCACTGCAATAACGATAATTACGTGACACATTGTATCATATTAATGCATGTTTAAAGGAGAGTGAAGCAAAACCAAATGTGTATAGAGAGTTGGTTGAAGAATATCACATTCAATATAAATTGTGTTGCATGAGGTAGCAAACGTATTGTTCTATGTATATTCCCAGTGTGATTTCAACAGAAAGATACACAAATAGTTTTGTCTGTTTAGGCAAGTTAGAAAAAGACATCACTTATGTCAATACATATGGTCATTTAACTCGCGGGATTGCACTGTTCTGACACCCTGCATCAGTCGTATCAGTGTTGCACCATTTAGCTGACCAATTTAGTTAGATTTCAAACACGAAGTATATTTGACATCTGTCACCGTAACGCCATAGATTACAGCGCGCCGTAATTTTGCGGTATTTTACAGGGTATTTTCATTCTACCATATAAGGAAATGCGAATTCCAAATATGGAATGATAACGCGCGTAAGCGTCCTCTAATAATAATAACAAAAAACATGGCTGCCATTAGGGTTTGGCCGGACTCCACACAAAGAAGTTTGCTGATTCTGTTTTAAACTTTTTGGATTTCGGCATTCCCATGATGTATCATAGGAAGGAAAAATGTATAACAATAAGGTTATTACGAGAATACCTCAAAGTATGCACTCAGACAGTACGCCGCGCATCGACCGACGCGCACTCCAGCTGTACTGTCTTCGTGCATACTTTGAGGCATTCTCGTAATAGCCTCATATTATATTAATTGCAAAAACAGAGTATTTATTTATTTATTTATTTATTTGTACCGTCACATGCATGATGTATTTCTAATTATTTAGTTTGAAATCGTACTTTGTAAGTACGGCTTAAAGCGGAAATAGCTGTAATTATCGTTACGTTACGAACAAATTTCTACCCACCCGGTCATGAACAAAACACTTTCCAGGGGTGCTAAATTGATGCGTCCATGTATCTTTGAATCCAGGAGATTGGCAGATTATAATATTGTCAGTTAATAATTGTAAATATATAAACGATTAAGAATGTGGAGGTGAAATCGGGAAAACGAAGCCTAGGTAGAGTACAATGGTTGTCAAACAAGGACTGCTTGAGAGCGCCCGACTTATGAAAGGGGTCTATACAGTGTGGTAATAATTTTAATTGGTATAATGAAGGAAATAGTTAAAATGATCGCAGGTGGAATTATGTCCGGGCAGTTATAACAGCACCTACAAACGAATAATTGATATGAACGCGTATGAACGAACAATTCACAGAAATATGAGTATTTCATGCACTAGTAGGGTGCGGTGATACAAACAGCTTTGTCAACATTGGAAAAACCAAAGCCTGTAAGGTAGTCAACTCCTTTTTTTTGGCACTGGGTCATCAATAAATCACGTTCAGAAAGAGATGACATTCTGTAGTGATGCATCACGACACAAAGTCTGGCAATATGAGTATCAATCAACCACTCAAATATTCTGTTCTGTCGGAAGCAAGCTCGAAATAAGAGTCTGCCAACTACAATCGAATGTTTATCTGAACATAGCAACCGTGCAAACTACTAAATGTACAATTGACGACAGACGGTGGTAGCACAATTAACAATCCCATCACCAGTTGAACATAAATGGCACTAAAATAATGGTGAGTTCCAGCTCTTGTTACAAATGATTCAGCTCCACAGCCACTAATGCAACTTGTAACTTGTGGTTGTAGTAAATTAGCGTCGGGAAAATTGTATCTCATGTGCATGTATGTTCAGTGGAGTGTCAAAAAACATGAAATTAGTTCTCGTTTGAGTAATTCTGGCGAGAATATTATGTTTCGCGCATGTACATCGCTACAAAGGGCAATCTGAATATTAACATGATACTTACTGCAATTGCAGGCACTGATTACCAAACGCTTCAGCGTGGTATTAAGAGTTTGTTTTCAGGGGTGGGTGATACCAAGGTGGGAAATGGATGTACATATGGGGTTAATTCCTTGAATTGCAATATAGGGTTCAGGCTGAAATACAATATATAGTGTTTTCATGTTTCGTCTGATATTTCTGTGATATTCTGCTGCTGTAAGTGATGCACGATTTGTTCCGAAATTCAGTATATTGTATGTATTCCAGGGTTATTCGTTTTTTGCTGAAAACACCCCTATTTTTTAGTGGCAGAGTCGAACTAAGTTCACTCCCACTGGGAAATCTGCATTGTTTCTTGAATGTGAGCTAATTAAACACATTTTCCAGACCGGCGAAAAAGTATGCAACAGCCAATTTGAACAGCCTGTCACATGATTTTACTCTGAATGTCAACATGAAACAGGCTAGTCCATTTTACGCAGGAGTAATTGGGAGTAGAATATGTGAGGGATAGTATCAACAGAGATGTGTATAGTGAAAAGTAATATCTATCCTTCATTAGCATCTCTGAGCATTTCTGTTTTAGTATATTGGTTTGAAAATGTTGAACTTGCATGATTTGCAATGTGTTTTTTTTAATGGGACTCCCCTATTGATCGAATCCCGGATTTGAACGAGAACGGCACACCACGTGATTCGTTTGAATACAATGCTGATGGCAAACATGCCGTGTTACTGCGGTACTCCACTGACGGGATGACTTACTAGTGCTGCATGCTACAACTTTGCTTGTGATGTTGCTTGTTAGCCATGGATTACATGAATCTTGATTACCAGTCAAATGTTGCTCATTTTACGTTGGTAATCTTTATTTGGAACTGATAACTTCCTGGTACTTCGTACTATGATAAAAATCAGTCAACATACATCCAGAGTTAGCGGGACCAGCGCAATACAAACGTGACCTTGATAATAGGATTGTGTTCAAATAATAAGAAGCTGACATTTTTGGACTAACATTATGTAATTGAAACACAAAATATAAGTATTAGAGGGATTACAAAAGAGGCTATAGTTAATATGGGCAGATGATTTGCTGGAGCTGTTGGT